TTGCAAGCCGTTTCGGAAATGCTCGACGAGCACGCAGAGAACTATGATGACGTTTGGGTTGAGTAAAAGCTCAAATAATGGTTCTCATCAGGGAAGTGTTTGAACTGCAATATATTCAAGTGGTCCGGAAAAATATTTCTCACAAATCAGAGGGCTTGCAATGGGGCAGCGGCTAGCACCGGTACTTGCTGTCTGTTTCATGAGTAGAATTGAACGCCCAGTGCTAGAACGCTTGCCAATCATGTACTGCCGCTATATCGACGACTGTTTTGTTTTAACATCAACTCAAGACGAAATGGACGAGTTGTTCAATATTCTTAACAGTCAGTCGCAGTACATCAAGCTAACTCGGGAAGTCCCACGCGAAGGTTGGCTACCCTATCTGAACACTCAGATTAGGGTCTCCAATGGAACATACAGTGTGAAATGGTATAGAAAAGAAAGCTCTAAAAATATCATTATTCACGCACTGTCGGCACACCCCAGAGCAGTTAAACGTGCAGTATTGCGTAACATGTACAAAACGGCTGTGGAGGTGTGCACCGGTGACGAGGAGCGAGAAGAGTCCAGAAGATTAGCTTGTCAAATTGCTAATCTAAATGGCTACACAGCGAGGCAGCGGCATAGGCGAAGCAGACCGAGTCCTTTTCCATACGGAGCTGAGAATAAACTATATCTTCAGCTTCCGTTTATATCGGATCGCTTTACCGCAGTTATACAACAATGCCTAAGAAGAGCAGATTTGGCCAATGATGTCTTCTTGATCAACATACCAAAAGACAACATCAAACACCAGTTGGTCAGGAATCGACTTTACGATCGAATCTGTATCATGGAAAACTGCGTGATCTGCCCGTATGGAAAGGTTGGAGACTGCGCACAACGTTCTGTGGTTTACCAGCTTCAATGTTTGACATGTAACGCTTTGTACATTGGAGAAACTGGCAGACAGTTAGGAGTACGAGTGAGAGAACACCTGGCTAGCAAAAGAAGAGAAAGCTTGATTGCACCGCTTAGCAAGCATAGAAGGGAAGGTCATGCTGGTTGTGAATTTGAAATCAAGTGTACAATACTGGCCTACGAAAACGACATTGGTGCAAGGAAAACCCTCGAAGCTTTCTATATACGGCAACGTAATCCTTGTATGAATAACAGAAATGAATGCATCTCCATAACTGCTGACTTCTTACCCTATATCCCCCTCTGTGAACTAGGATAATGAGAACGTCATGCACTGCACGTACACTCTATATAAGCAATGCACGACTGGTTGTCTCATTTTATTTTACTGTAGCTGGAGACCATCAAGGGAAGCTGCTGATCCAGAAGCGGTGACGCTGGTGGAGTCAAGGTAGGTGACACATTCCTGGGGTTTTCACTCCTTGATTCATTAGCTTGGGTGCCACTTGGTCACGAGCGGATAGGTAACAATTTGAATGCCGTATGACGCTTTCAGGCTTTTGATAACGACGAGCTAGTCGAAACGTCAAGCCCAATAAAGATTCCATCGTACAAAACCTGTGTGGCACAAAAAGATTACACAACTGTTTAAAACCAAATGCCCAGGTTTCAAGAAAGGCGGACTTGGAGGATAAAAGGATATAATTTCTGTAAGCTTGTTCTGAACAATTACTTATGCAAAAACATTTACACATGATGTGGTGCCTTGGCCAGTACATCTACTGCTGGCTAATGCACCACACTATATGTAATGAAAGAAGGGTTTCTCTTTTACCATTTATTCTTTTTCATATGGAAGTGAAGATTTCTCCTTCTCATTTGAGAATTTTGAAATTTTTCCAAATTGTGGATTCCCTTTTTCACCTTATCCAAAGTGGATGCACGAAGCCAAGGCTTATCTAGCCTTGGCAGTTGCACATGTTCGTTAGGATTCCTGAATTTTCAGTATTATCCTACTATATATAAGCGGCTAGCGTGTGTCTGTTGGTGTGTGTGTGTGTGTTTGACCGGAAATTCATAGCTCGAGTCACAGTAACGATAGCGCAGTGGTTCTTACATATGTTATAGGGGGTGGGATGGGGACACAAGTGGTACGTGATAGGAACTGATAACGACTGATAATAGCTGATAAGAGGGGCTAGAAAGCGAGCATCGCCAATTTCGTTTTGTCGTTCATATTGGTACTAGAGCGTCTATACTTACAAGTCTTATGTGGGGCGGTCCCGGGACATTGGTGGTACATGATTGGAAGCGATAGCAACTGATAAGGGCTGATAAGATGCGCTAGAACGCAAAAGTCGTCGATTCCGTTGCCTGGCTCGCGTTGACACCAGAGCAACCATACTTACAAGTGTTATGTGGGGTGGGACGGGGACATTGTTGGTGGGTGCCAGAAACTGATAACGATTGATAAGGGCCGATAAGGCGCGCCAGAACGCTGAAGTCGTCGATTCCGTTGCCTGGCTCGCGTTGACACCAGAGCAACCATACTTACAAGTGTTATGTGGGGTGGGACGGGGACATTGTTGGTGGGTGCCAGAAACTGATAACGATTGATAAGGGCCGATAAGGCGCGCCAGAACGCTGAAGTCGTCGATTCCGTTGCCTGGCTCGCGTTGACACCAGAGCAACCATACTTACAAGTGTTATGTGGGGTGGGACGGGGACATTGTTGGTGGGTGCCAGAAACTGATAACGATTGATAAGGGCCGATAAGGCGCGCCAGAACGCTGAAGTCGTCGATTCCGTTGCCTGGCTCGCGTTGACACCAGAGCAACCATACTTACAAGTGTTATGTGGGGTGGGACGGGGACATTGTTGGTGGGTGCCAGAAACTGATAACGATTGATAAGGGCCGATAAGGCGCGCCAGAACGCTGAAGTCGTCGATTCCGTTGCCTGGCTCGCGTTGACACCAGAGCCATACTTACAAGTGTTATGTGGGGTGGGACGGGGACATTGTTGGTGGGTGCCAGAAACTGATAACGATTGATAAGGGCCGATAAGGCGCGCCAGAACGCTGAAGTCGTCGATTCCGTTGCCTGGCTCGCGTTGACACCAGAGCAACCATACTTACAAGTGTTATGTGGGGTGGGACGGGGACATTGTTGGTGGGTGCCAGAAACTGATAACGATTGATAAGGGCCGATAAGGCGCGCCAGAACGCTGAAGTCGTCGATTCCGTTGCCTGGCTCGCGTTGACACCAGAGCAACCATACTTACAAGTGTTATGTGGGGTGGGACGGGGACATTGTTGGTGGGTGCCAGAAACTGATAACGATTGATAAGGGCCGATAAGGCGCGCCAGAACGCTGAAGTCGTCGATTCCGTTGCCTGGCTCGCGTTGACACCAGAGCAACCATACTTACAAGTGTTATGTGGGGTGGGACGGGGACATTGTTGGTGGGTGCCAGAAACTGATAACGATTGATAAGGGCCGATAAGGCGCGCCAGAACGCTGAAGTCGTCGATTCCGTTGCCTGGCTCGCGTTGACACCAGAGCAACCATACTTACAAGTGTTATGTGGGGTGGGACGGGGACATTGTTGGTGGGTGCCAGAAACTGATAACGATTGATAAGGGCCGATAAGGCGCGCCAGAACGCTGAAGTCGTCAATTCCGTTACGCAGCGTTGACACTAGAGCGTTCCTACTTACAAATTGTAGTATGTCGTAGTAGTACAAACAAAGGTACGTGCACATTATTTCGATATATATCCAGCTTACTTAATAGCAGTCGATTGCATAAATTCAATCAAGTCTTCAGCAAATGATAAGTTTCATTTCTATCACGAAAGCCCAAGACTCATTAAACCGCTAATCCTTTCGGGGTTCTAAATAATGGTAAATGTAAATAAATGATAAGCCTTAGCTCCTCACTTATGTAAATAGGCATATTTCGTTTTGATTTTGAGACTGACAGCAATCCTATTCACCGCTAAATTATCTTAATTCAAGAAAAATGCTGGATGTTTACAGAGTTGATCAATATACCAGTTCAGCTCAGACGTTATCACGCGTATTCTCGATGAGCTTCAGTGAAACTGTGGAGGGTCTAACACAGTCAATAGTGAGATGGTTAATGGAGTATCTCATGCTGATATTCCATGGGTCCTCCAATTTCGCTAAAGCCTGCCGTGTGATGCGCGCGATAGCGGGCGAAGCAAAACTGGTGATAATAAAGCGTGGCGAACGCGAAAGACTCATAGCGATGTTTGAGAACCACTATATTCATTGTTGGAGCTCCTTCATTCTGCAGACCGAACCCAACATAGTACATTTTCCTCATCGGTCTTGAAAACACATTGCTTATCCACCAGCTAGAATTTCTTAGTTGCTGTAAGTCTATTATATTATCTGGAAGTCAGTCACACAAAGTGTGGCAGGTCTTTTGTCCGTTCGATGGTAATACTTAATTTCCGTTGTGAACCAGGCCATTAAACCATTCATTCCCATCCATTCGATTCCACCTCCCTTACAATTCATCCGAATTACGATTGAATGCTCCGCGGCAGATGCTTGAAACAGTTTTGTTGACGAATGTTGCCATTTTATTGATTGAATAGGTGTGTTTTCTGGAAGAATAGAGCATTTTTCAGATCGTCGATGCCAGAAACCCACTCCTGTTTTGGAGCAAAGATCTTGACGCCTATGTGAAGGAAGTTGACCCTGCGAAAAAAGTGTTACTCTTACTCAACAAGTCAGATCTTTTGGAGGAAGATCAAATGGCTGGATGGTGAAGTACTTTGTGGACAACAATATAAACGCTGCATTTTGGTAATTCGTAAATTTTTAAAAAAAAATTTTGCGACTTATCTGAGCTTTCTAGGACAGCGGTAGAAGAACCAGAGGAGTCCGAGGAGGAATGTTGCTCTGCGCCATCCACGGCTTCATCCTCCATGGACGGAGTTCTGTTCTTGCGCAGTCGTGATCAGCTCACACAACATTTGAAAGACTTGGGCCATGTCATCGACGCTCCAGGTTGTAAACCTGTTGTTGTCGGAAAGGTTGGCTATCCGAATGTCGGCAAGAGCTCAACAATAAACAGAATTGCTGGTGACAAGAAGGTTTCTGTATCGGCTACCCCTGGAAAGACACGTCATTTCCAGACAGGTCACACGACAGTCAAGTGAGTTTTAACTTTGGAATGAATAATGAAACACTCGTTTTTCTGCAACATTAAGTTTGCATATCATTTCGCACTTGTTTTGCATTTTTTTATCTAACGGGATTGGAATTAGATGATGTGGTCCTTAAAAAACGAATGAAATGTTGGACAGGAAACATCCTGGCGGAACACCTGCATTGGCTTCTGATACCTTACGTGCCCGCGCTCACATCCATTGTATTGATAAATGCGGTGAATCACTAATTCTGTCTCATTATTGAAAACGTTTTGTGACTTACACGATTCCGGGCGATGCCACACAAATGGTGTTTTACGAATTATCGGTGAACGAGGGTTTAATAGTGTCGCTTGTGCTTGCATTTTGTGGGTTCATATTGTTGTACCAGTTTAGCTCCGCACGCATCCGCGCGCATCATATGGTGGGCTTCAGTGAAACTGGACAACCTGTAGAATGTTAGGTCACATGGCTGAGAAATATTATTGAGCTGCTTTGAAAAATGCTCCTGATAAAATGCAAAGGCTGTCCATTCCGCTGAAGACTATCGCGTAGTGCACGCGTAGCATGCGGAATGAAAATGGCTTATCACGACTTCGTAAACATTCAGCATTAATATCGAGTTTGGATGATTTAGCGGTCTATAGAATTAATACTGTGAGTATCGCTGAAAGAGTGAGATATGACCATTCAATCTGCAACTAACCTAGCTCTGATGATAACTTGTCATTGGTCCAGGTCCAGATAGTTGAGCGTTTCAACTTTCTTTGCACCGTTTGGTAGAAGTTTAGAAATGAAGCATATCCACGTACTAAGAATCTGGCTTTGCCTCGCTGCTATGATCGCTTGGCAGTGTTAATTGCTACAAAGTCGGAGTGTTTGCATTTAGACGCCCCTTATCATTTCTTGTCATTTGTTACCGTTCATACCGATAGCATCGTTGTCCCCGTCCAACCCCCTATGAAACATGTAGAAGCGAAGGTTTTACTGTCACCACGAAGACTACAACGAATTTGACAGTACTCAAATTCTGGACTTCGTTATCAGCCGTTATCGATTGTTATCACTTTGATCACTCACCATTCGTGTTCCCGTAAGATTCTCCGTACCATATGTAAGAGCCAAGGTTCTACTATCACTGCGAAGGCCGCTACGAAAAAATTGGTGGTATTCACCCTCTGACGCCCCTTATCAGTTCTTATCACTTGCCACCACTTTCTTTCACCCACCCTCATGGTACCCGCCTCATCCCACATATAATATGAATGGGTTCAAACATGTTACTGCCAATGCGAGGAGAGCAACAAAACTGGTGGCCTTTGCATTCCGGCGCACGTTGTCATCTCTTATCACTTGCTATCACCATTCTTCGCTCTCTATTCGGGTCCCGTCACACAGCACATTACACTTATGAGTGGAAACTCTCCACTGTCAACGCGAACGGCGTAGCGAAATTGGTGATATGAGCTTTCCGACGTCCGTTATCAGCTCTAATCAGTAGTTATCAATTCCGATCACTCCCCATTGATGTTCGTGTCCAGCCCCCCGTACACCTGAAAGTTTGAGCGCTCGGTGGACCAAAGGGACTGAAGTTATGAATTTCCGGTCAGACACACACACACACACACACACGCACAACCGCTTAGCCGATTATATATAGTAGGATAGACATCTGCATAAGGGTATAACGTCTTTTACGGAACGCTTCTGTCCTCATCACGGATATGATACTCAAAATCAAAATGAGTGTCATATTCATGATCAGGGCTCCAAATAACCCCTATGCAGAAGTTTACAGTCGTCTCATCAAACGTCCATCAACCATTCCTCTTCCAGGTTCTCCAGAAGCTCTACCATCCATCTCTGCAAAAATAACCTACCTCCCTCTTCACTGCTAGTTAGCGGTCCACAAATCGGTTCATAATCAAATCCATAGCTATTAAGCTTCAAACTCCTTGTCGCAATCAAAGCCTTCAACATCTCTCTATTCTCAGTAAAAAGTCATAAGTAGGATCTTCTATTCGTTCAACCCGGTAATATTTGCTGCCTTTGTTCTTGTTTGGCTGTTTATTTTGCTTCCTATAAGCTTATCAGGGTTGAGCATATGTGTTAGTCTCAACGTTTAGCGAATTACTTTGTCGTCAGACACACGAGATAAATGATAAGGCGATATTGTAATCTAAGAAGTTTTTGTACACTTCATGATTTGTTCATAAACTTTCCTTCCAAAATATGTCAAATTTTGCTATAGAGAGGAGTTTATTTGTATAGTAAATCTACATACTGCCACACAATCTCTAGTTATCGCTCTACTTGTTTCCTGTTTCCTCCAATTCTGGCACTTGTCTACTTAGCTTTTTATGGAGTACAATTTCATAGTCATATTCGACGTGTGTGGTTCGTATGTATTATTCAAATTAGGCGAGATCTATGACGAACTAAAGTATTGTTTTCTTTTGTAGGGTATTGAATTAGTAGTATACTAATTACATTATACCTATACTACAGAGTTTTGCGCGATTTTAGCTTAATGTTGACTGTTTTTTGGCAGGGTTTTCGTATCCGCCTCCTTTGCGCCTCCTTTTCCACGTCCGGACATTTTATTGCGGTGAGCTTCCAAGAGGTTCATCTTCTCCCCACAAGCAAACTTATAGCCGATATTTAGATGGCCCTGCCGGATATCACAGCATCTGTATTAGCAGCGATGGCGCGTATGGCTAGCAATGACGACAAGATGGATCTATTTCTAATGATATTCGTGGCTTCACTCCTCGGGCAATTATTTATGGTGGCATTTTTGATATTTGTTGCAGTCAATATTTTTCTTCTTGTGAGTTCTCCTCACTTTCTTTTCCCTTGACCATCGCTTATCATTTCTTTTCAGATATATGAAAAGAAGATTTTCGAGGGACCGAGACTCGAGGGATCGACAGAATGTTAACCAAGCCTCACTTCAGCCGGATTTCAACTCCAACCTCATAATGATCGAGCTTTAAAACATTGGCGATTTTTGGGAATACCCAAAACTGCTTGGTCGCCGATGTGTTAACACATAGCAGTGCATCACATGGTGATGCATGGAACAATGATCTCTTTTGCTCGTTCGTCTCGTTTGTGTTATTTTCGGGTTTTCTTCAGGAATAAAGAGAAGAAGTAATGTACACACTTCAACTTTATTGGACAAAGACGTTGATACACACAGAAATACACCGTAACACTAAAAAACACACATGTCCAATAGGGGGGGGGTCGCACTGACACCCCTTGAAATGGAGGGGGTCGCAAAAAATTTGGAATTTGCGCAACGCAGGGTTGACCCTGATTGCGACCCACTCCCTCGGCCCATGATCAAAATGCGGCTCCCTCGTTCGTATAGTGCAAACGGACGGTAGACACCGGCTGGGAGCACGCTTAAGCGAATCATGGTCTAGAGCCCTTGCGCGCGGACGCGTTGCGGCTTGGCGCCAAAGACGCCATTTAAATGCCTTCCACCGATTTCGTTGCGTGAGTGGCTATGGATTGTTATGATTAGCGCATTTCATGACAAGACAGATAAGAGAGGCCGCGGAATCGATGTTACCGTAATCCGCGTTAGCACTGGTGCGCACTGCGGCATGCATTGGAGCGCCCTTTGAATGGCGCAAAGATCAGTCATTCATTCTTGTTCCACTCTTTCAATTTGTTGGAAGAAATGACTTGGTAAGGCACTGATTGCTGAATCAGCTCAAGGAGCAGGAGAAATCGCCAAAGTTTGCAATGTTCCTGAGACACACCTCGAAAGATGCTAATGAAATGAAGTGTAAATGCAGCAAACGCAAGGAGGTGTGGCATTTTTGAATTGTAGAGATTGGTACGAGGTTTTTATTCCACAGTGGTCCCTAAATATCCAAACAATGCTACAATACATTTCTCCACATTGCTACCCATGCTCTCATTATTTTATCTTTCGAAACTCTACCTGCAGGAGTAAATCGAAACGTCCATGAAGAAACTTACTCCTCACATCCGCGGTATCTTGAGCGACTTTGCACGAACTCGGCGCAACGCCTGTTATCACCGAATTCCCTTTGAATGGTAGGAGGTATACAGGTTCTCTGGTCAGGAAAACGATATTCGTTTCTGGTGGGGGTAGTTTTCAACGCCATTTTGGCTCAGCAAGGGCAAAATTGAAACCTGATGATGCCCGTGCCAAAATGGAAGTCATACTCGATTGTTCAGCGCATTGATATACCTTTGTTGTCAAAGTTTCACTAATACTTGACCTGCTTGAGCTTATCGGTGAAGGAGCCTCGGACTGTAATACTTGGATAAAGCTCTCTTCAACCAAAGACTGATGATGGAAAAATGAACACATAATGGGGCTTGAAAGCAATTAATTCAAAGATGCTTGCTAGCTAGCGCGTAATTCGTAATCCAGGTTTGAATGAAATCTTTTGAGCAATTTTTGCGTAGCCTTCCTTTTTGCACTGTTCATTGAATAGCTTAGTCATAAATCTTTTATTACTTCGAATTTACAACGTTTATCACAAACACATGAACAGAAACCTATCAGGCAATCAATACGATTCTAGCAAATAAACAGTGCACCTTTGGCTCACCGTAGTCCATTGTTCCCTTATTGTTAGTACAAACTGTGCATTGAGCGCCAAGTACGCTGCAGTCGCCCATGTGCCCCCGAGTATCACAAGAGGAACACTTCAGCCAGTGAACAATGTCACGATCGTCGTTCAGCGGATTCTCTTGGACCCAAAACCCGCACACTCTAACATCTGCCGAAGCAAATTCTTGGGAATGGGGGGACTTGGCTTCCGCTTAGCTTTGTTAATAGATGAACTCTGAAAAAAGTATTTTGAAGCCAGCAATCAAAGTGAGGAAAGTTGAACTGAATCACAGTTCTAAGTCGTATCGGTTGAGCATCGGCTGATATAGGTCCGCACGGCAGAGTTCTGGACGTATTGCTATGATAGGCTCCTTCCTTGTCAGAGGAGAGATAGAGTGCTTTT